GATGGAAATGGGGTGGGCGCAGTCGAACGCCGCAGTGCGGAAATGCTTGTGTAGAACAACAACGAGGAGGCCTGTGCTCAACGAGGAGGCCTGTGCTCAACGAGGAGGCCTGTGCTCAACGAGGAGGCCTGTGCTCAACGAGGAGGCCTGTGCTCAACGAGGAGGCCTGTGCTCAACGAGGAGGCCTGTGCTCAACGAGGAGGCCTGTGCTCAACGAGGAGGCCTGTGCTCAACGAGGAGGCCTGTGCTCAACGAGGAGGCCTGTGCTCAACGAGGAGGCTCCACTGGAGTAATATTTACACCACCTTTGGAGGGTAATACCACCTGGCCAGGCCTGAAGGTGGTTTAGCATATACGCAGTTAGTAGTAAGGATAGTGCAGCAGTAGCAGTAGTAGCAGTACGACAGCAATTTCTTACTCAGCCAACCTAAATGAGCGGTATGTACGCCATGAAATCAAGTACGACACACGCGCACAGCTAACCGCGGAGTGATGAGGCAGCTTCCTGCAGAAGTGGGCCATGCAGCTCGGGGGCCGGCGGGGGGGACTACCTACTGGCAGACACTACTACTTCAGTGCGTTGATGTACGGCGGGGCGGAACGGATAGCTGTGTGCTGGTGTGTGGGACATATGTATGTATCGATGTATGTATCGATGTATATGTATGTATGTATCTATGACACGATTAATTCAAATATGGAAGTAATTGGCTTCATTTCCTTCGCGGCGGTCTCGGCGATGATGTTGTTTCGTGTCGCCAACGTGTATGTATGTATGTATGTATGTATGTATGTATATAGCTATGTGTATCTTTTTGTCCCATCAGGCATCTCGCAGTTCTCTAGGGGTAAATGACGCTGTAGTGGAAGCGGTCCTCGAGGACGCTACACCAGCTGGCAGGAAGCACCCGGTCTAGATAGATGGTATCCCTTGTTTCGGAACGAGGTTGCACCAGTTCCGTTCTTGCTGAACTAAACACAGCCATTGGCCGAGAGCCAAAATGCTCTCAAGTTGGCTTCTTGGAAGGTGTCTTCACGATCACAAATATAAAACCCCGGGATCTCCCGCTTCACTGGGTAGTTACCGGTAGTTGTTACCTTGTTGGTTACGATGAACAGGATTCTTGCCAAAATTATACCTCGTCGGCTGGGGCCAGTGCTGGGGCGGATGGATAGTCACGCGCGATCGGTCTGCCGTTCCTGCCTTCCCGCGGTTGATAGGCGCAAATGTTTACCCGGTCACTTTTACCCAATACATCATCGAGGGCGGTGGTTAATGGCTTCATATCCCATCAATTTGCCTTCACAGTGGGTGTGCGGCAGGGCTGGTGTCCATGGGCACCTTTGCTGTACTTGTCTGTCGTGCACGCGCTCCTGTGTTGCTGGTTACAGCACAACCGAGTGAGGTTTCGCACTTACCACAATCAAACCAAATACAGAAGTGCTTACAGCGGTGCAAGTTGCTGATGTGGCACGGAAGTTGTCTGAAGAGGGAATGGAGGCAATTCCTGCTTTTCTTTATGTTGTATGCGGGTGTACGTGTACGCGCAGGACTCTGGACAGCAGCTTTACCTTGATAAGGGTGAGCTTTTACCTGTCGGTATCCACATCCACATCAAGTGCAAATAAGTCACAACATGGAAGGTGGTGCACATCATGGCTACGGCGCCCAATTTTCCTTTTACAGATGCGGGTGCGGGTGCGGGGAACACCCCGGTCTTGGACTGGGATGTGCACTTGGACAAAGCTGTGGACAAAGCACTTGAATTCCATCACATCCCCTTGCAGCACCTCTCCATGTTGTTGTGGCGTGCGCAGGCAGCGGCTGCCTATGGGCTGCATCGTTTTACGTGTCACATGGAGCAGGGAGGGGTCGGGCTTTCCCCGGAAGCGAAACGTATGAACATAGAGGCTAAAGCTGCCAAGCTTATTGATCGGGACCTGGGCTCGGCTGCACATGACAGGCGGCTCACCGGGCTGCTTGGGAATTTGTTATACGGCCATCCATCTTCGGGCGGTTTGGGGACACAAGCCGTTCGAGGGCATGTTCAAGCGCGATGGGCGTGCTGGGCGGTGCGTTTTGTGAGGGCGATAGTCCAGCCCGTTTTTACGAGACCGTCCAGGGTCTTGGTCATGCACTCGTTCCTGCATGCCCTTTACCCGGCGTACAACCCCATGTGTTTATTCACGTCCCAGGTGGGGGTGCTTTGGTTTGTGGTAATCGTTATAATGCCAGATGTTCGCCGCATTGTTGTTACAGCGTTGACATATCTCGCCCCAGTTGAAGTTGTTGACGTTCATCCGTTAATTCCTAATGCTTGGTGTTGGAATTTGCCTCTGTGGGGAAACCCTGTTCTTCCGGAAAAGAGATTGATTGTCCCGTGAGTTAACGTCTGCCCAGGGCCGGAGTTTCGACACCAAGCACTCCTGGGCTGTAAGGCATTGCAAACGTTGCGGGATGTTCTTCTTGCATGGCCAGCTGGCCCGCGGGCTCTACTCTTCGTGAGTCTGGAGCCCACTGTGACAATACCCCCCACACACACAATTCGGGGTATGTATGTATGTATCTATCTGTGTGTATGCGCGTTTAATCTTCAGTAAATATCTACGTAATTGGAGTAACGCACACAAGGCTTACTTCCTTGTTTGCCCAGAGGGAGAAAGTGAGAAAGGGCTAGCAGCAACAAAAAGGTTCCGGCGGTAGTTTCTGTGGTACTGTGAATTTTGTGTTGCACGCATCCCTGCCTGGCCACTGCCCCAGCCCGGCGTGAGGCAGCTCTCATGAAGGCGCTGAGGAGCTGATGAGAGGCTGGCTGAGAGCAACACCTGGCTGATGAGAGGCTGAGCCTTTGGGGGTCCTGCCTGCCTGCGTACGTATGTACGCATGTATGATGTGTGAAACAGGGGGGTGTATCTTCGCCCGTGGCAGCTTCCCTGCGAAACCCTGCCTTCCCCGGTATTTCGGGGCACCCTCATCTAGTCACCCTAGTCAACTTCTCAGTTGATCGCTCAGGTTCCGCACCCACCACCAGCATCCAACGGAATCTGCCGGTTCGACAGCGGCCCAACTCCGTTCCTGGTCGGCTCGCAGGTTAACTTTATCCCAGGTCACTACCGTCCATCAACTAGGGGCGCAATGACTTCCACCATCGGAAGGATTTTGACCCTAACCCGGGATCTCCCGGGGGCAATGGTCGCGCCTTACCAGTGGTGCCAAACCCTTGTATGTTTATATGCAAGTATGTATGCATACATATAGGCAAGAGATACCGCGCCAGATTAAGCCGTAGTGTGAGATACTATAGGTACTCCATTATAACTTCACAGTGGAGGTTATTTTTTAGAAGTCCGGCTGTCGCCCTAATCGGTCGCTGTAAAGGACCATGCAAATGCGTTGCACTTTGGGATTATTACATCTCGTCTCGACTGACCCTTTATATTTTGTATGGCCTCCTTAGCACAAGGCCTCGTTAATAACACTCACCTGGTGTCGCAGCCAGGACTCTGTCGTCTACATGTGCCTCTCTATATAAGTCGTAACGTACAGTACACATTGGCCTCTTTGACCAATACATATACCTGTATATACGTTACTACTTCGAAAAAACGCGTGTGTCCGTGAAATAAAGCGAAGTCAGGGGATTGTCGCAGGTCGTCACTTCAATTTCTTTTAAGATGGCTTTGCGGAGTAAGAAGCGGTTGCGGAGTAAGAAGCGGTTGCGGAGTAAGAAGCGGTTGCGGAGTAAGAAGCGGTTGCGGAGTAAGAAACGGTTGCGGAGTAAGAAGCGGTTGCGGAGTAAGAAGCGGTTGCGGAGTAAGAAGCGGTTGCGGAGTAAGAAGCGGTTGCGGAGTAAGAAGCGGTGGTGAGTGTATATCATGGTTGGATGATGGATTACCCATTCTTATGCTAAACATCGGCCTGAAGAGGCTTGGCGCGTGTGACAAGAGGTGATTCTGGTTGGAAGCCGAGGTGGGGATTACTCCTTCCCCTTTACATATGTCACTTACCACGCCGTTTGCGTGTGTGTGTACGTGTGTATGTGTGTATGCGGTGCTGGTGTGTGTGGAGGCGGAGAATGTTGCAACGAGGAGGGCAATCACCTCCGACTTGAATAATAATCCGTACACTACGTCACCACCCAGCGGGGGTTCCTGCACACTGCAGTACATTCCAATTCAAGCGATATTGAGTGAACCAGTGCCTAATATAATATACATATATGATATGACTGTGTGCAGTACGCAGGGAGGAGATAACTTCGCACCGTTAGCACCACCACGGCTCGGGCGCCCTCAACCTTCCCCGACGTCTGCATGTCCGTAAGACGTACGTCAGTATATGAGTATGTATGTGTGTATGTGTGTATGTATGTATGTATGTATGTATGTATGTATGTATGTATGTATGTATGTATGTATGTATGTATGTATGTATGTATGTATGTATGTATGTATGTATGTATGTATGTATGCATGTTTGGTTTGACCCAACGCGGCCAACACAGCCTCACTCGTCCTCTTGCCCCCACTCCCTCGCGCCCCCACAACCCCCAAACTTGATTCACACGCACAGCCTCACACTCCCTCGCACCGTTGGCAGAGCGGGGCCCGGGGTGTGTGCGTGTGGAAAACAACTTAACGCCTTTTCGTGAGCGTTTGTCCTACCTCCACGCTACCCTCCACAAACCCGCAAACCCATTTCAGGCGCTTCGAAACCACACAGCGGCGGGACGGGCGAGCCTACATGTGTGTATATGCAGCTAGGTATACATTCACTCAAGCACTTTCAGTTTTCACCTTGCCTGAATGATGATTGGCGGAAAAGCCCTCAATATCCTCCTCCTTCTCCTCCTCCTGCTGCTGCTGTTGCGATTGCTATTGCTGTTGTTGTTTGCTGCTGATGTTTTGTTTTTAAGCTTGCTCGTCGGGTTTTGCCTAACGAAGGAAATGGGTTGGGCGGCAGTTAAGGAGGCAGCAGAGCTCGGCCCCGCCCTGTTTAATTACACGTACGGCCGAGTGTACACAGCAGTGGCGGTGTAGTCCTTGGAGGGACCGGTGACACGGAACACGATTTCAAACTGCCGAAGCTGGATGCCCTGGAAGTAAAACTTGTACGATGCGTCGTACATGTCGCGGCCGCACAGATGCTGTCCTACGGCGCGCCAGCAGCCAGCGCCGTCGGCGGTGTCTGCTATACCTGCCGTACTAGCTAGATGGTGTCCGCCGCCGCCGTCGGCGCCATCGCAGCTAAGTGTGGTTGACGTCGTCGCCGCCGCCGCCGCCGCCGCATCTACGTTAGTCGCGCCATCCGGCGGCGGCGGCGGCAGGAACTTGAGCGAGTGGAAGAAGTTCCCTCGCGGGGATCCGCTGCCCTCCGCAGCGAAATACACGTCGATACGGTCCGCCGTACTGTCGTACGCGTACACGTACTCCCGCCGCACACGCATCACTGCGCCACCGTGTATGGCAAACTGGCCTTGCTCATCGTACAGGTACGACAGGCCGCCGGCGCCGCCCGCGCATGGGGTGAAGTCGGCGTCAGCGAATGCGGCAAAGCTAGCACGACCCGTCACTTCCCCTGACGGCGAGCTGTCAAGGCGGCTGATGATGCTGCGACGTAACGCCCACTCGCCCGCCAGCGCATAAAATACGGCACTTGCCACCCGGCGTCCGCTGCGGTACGCCCGCATCGCTGCTGCCACATCTGTCAGGGCCTGGCGCACAGCCGCCGCCGCCGCCGCTGTCTCCCCATCTGCCGATGCCGGAGGCGCCGATGTAGGTATCGCATCCAACTCCAATCCTTCCGACGCCGTCGCCGCCGCCGCCATGTCGCCATGTCCGTTCGCCGCCGCTGCCGCCGCGACGGCGGCTGCCGCTGTCGCGGCAGTGAAAGCTGAAGCCGTACGGCTTGATGATGGGGGCGGCGCCGGCGGCGGGGGCTGCGTGGGTCTCTGAAACATGTGCACGGCATAGTGGGCCGACACAACCACTTCGTGCTCCGCCCGCCACGCCGCTGGCGGCAGCGCGCCCAGCGCCTCCGCCAGTCCGTCAGCGTGCCCCACAAAGTCCTGATGAGGATACGGCGGACGCGGCCTGTGTTGCCGTACACGCAGCTCCAGCGCGACGCCAGCGTGCTGGGTTTCCGGGTCCGCCTCCGCCGCCGACAGCGTGCCCGTGAACGCCGCCGCCGCCAGCCGCGCCTGAAGCTCCACCACCGCAAAGAACGGGCTCCGAAACACGCCCACGAATGCTAGCCCGGGAGCGTCGGGGTGCAGCACCCGCCGGTGCAGCGCCAGCGGCACATAATTGTCATTCGGCGTGTACGACAACGTGCTCAGCAGGTCCGTCGACAGGAAGGGCAGCGCGGGGCGTAGCCCGGTGCACAACACGATAGCGTCGACGTCGTGCAACGGCTGCGGCGCCGCCTCCGCCGCCTCCGCCGCCACCGCAACTCCGCCTCCGCCACCACTGTCGGGCTGTTCATCCCCCGCGGCGGCGGCGGCGGCGGTGAACTCCAGGGTAGATCCCGCCACGCGGTGCAGCCGGGCGCGGCGCAGCTGCAGCCGCCCCGAAACCAGCAGGGGTCCGTAGGAATCGCTGATGGACGACACAGCTGGCTCTGCGCTGCTCGGCGAGACGGCCAGAACTGGCGACAGCAGCTTGGCCTGCAGGAGCAGGAAGGCGAGGAGGAGAGCAGCCGCAGCAGCAGCAGCAGCAGCAGTCTCACCAATCCAGTTGCCATGCCACATCCCCATCTCCTCCAGCCCCCCTACTCCCCCTACCCGCTACCCACTACCCACTACTACCGATAAATGCTAGTACTGCTACCACCACGGCCGAAGGAAGGCCCCTCTTTAGTGCCTGTGGCCCCCTGTTGTCCCCTCGGTGGCCTCCATTCCACTTGGGAGACCAGCACGCGGCGGCCAACAGCTCCCGCGCTCTGAGATGCTCAGAGGCTCTGGGTACTGAGCCCAGCAGGCAAGAGAGCGGGGGAGGACGGCCGTCAACACGTCCTCCTCACACGGCGCCGCAACACTACTACTGCTACAAATAGCTATTTGACCGTCCATGGGGCCCCTCCCCCTCCTCCCCCTCCTCCTCCCAGGCTGGCAGGGGTGGGGCCTGTCACCCCGCCGAGGTCCTAGGCCCTAGGTTAGCTACCAGACCCCTCCAGGACCACATCTAACAGAGACCCCCTCCCCCGCCCCCGGCCCCCCACCGCTCCTGGCTCACCTGGTCACCGCACAACGAGGCAAAGAAGGAGTTGACCCCGGCGTTGTCGTGGCCCCGCGGGAACACCAGCTCCTCAGGGCCCAGTCCACCGGCGGCTCGGGCGGCTCGGCGGTGGAAGAACAGGTCCAGGGGAACGAAGGGCGAGCCGCCGCCGCCGCCGTCAGCCGCCGCCGCCGCCGCCGCCGTCGGCTCCAGCGGTAGAAACCGCGGGATTACCCAAAACGGTCTTGGCGTCACGTGTACGACTTTAAGGGATGAATCCACGGTGGCGGCAGCGGCGCTCCGTCCCGCCGCCGCCGCCGCCGCCAGGTCGGCGGCGATGTCGGCGGCGCTGTGGCCGCTGCCAATCACTGCCACTCGGCGGCAGCTGCCCGGCAGGCAGCTCGGCCCCGTGTAGTCGGCGCTGTGCAGTACAAGTCCAGGGAAAGTCGCCAAGCCGGGGATGTCAGGCACGTACGGCACAGCACAGAAGCCCGTGGCGACCACCACAAAGTCAAAGCGGCGTGTCGCGACAGCTCCGAGGGACGGACTGACGGCCGCCTCAGGACGACTGACTGCCTCCCCTCCTTCCCCTTCACCTCGCCCTTCTTCTTCTTCTTCTCCTGCCCCTCCTCCCCCCTTCACCCTGCCTGCTCCTCCGCTGCAGGCTGCTTCGACGCTATCTAGACGTGTCGTGGGTGGCGGCGGCTGTCGGAGCCTCACATCACGTGCAACAGCAGCGGCGACTGTAGCAGCAGCGGCAGCGTCGGAAGCTTCCCTCGGGCCGGACGGGTGCGCGACATGGCGCCAATGGACGCTCCAGGAGGGCCCCGCCTGGCCGGCGCCGTCACCGCCGCTGCCAAGACATTTCAGCAGCGGCGCGTTGGGCTCCACGCGCAGGACCTCACAGCCCAGCTGCAGGAGGCAATTGTCTTGTGTGAGGAAGGCGTGCTGGTAGGCGGTGAGGTACTGGCCCATCTCCCGGGCAGAGGGGAAATCGGGCGAGGAGGAGGGCCACGGAAAGTCGGAAAAGCTGCAGGTGAAGTGAGATACGTTGGTGTGGAGGGAGTCGTAGGTGGCGGCGCCGTCGGTCCACATGCCGCCTAAGGCGGGGCGCCGGTCAAAGATTGTGGGGAACAGGCCGGCTTGGACGGCGGCCTTCGCAGCCGCAATACCGGACAAGCCACCGCCGATGATGGCAACGGTCTTGCGATGTTGCGGGTCTGGCTCGGCGTGTGCTTGCGGCGTTGGGTCAACGCGTGCTCGCGGCATGGCGATGGCATTCGCTTGGGAGCCGGCAGCCCAAGTCCGTGAAGGGCGATGTCCAGCGTACTTGGGAAGCCGGGCTAGGTAGTGAACACTATGTCGGGGGAATAATAATGTTGCAGGCAATTTTGCGCTGCGCCTCGTTTGCGGAACTCGTTCCGGTCTTGGCTGTTGCCGAAACAACTCCGGCATGTGATTTGCACGATTACGTATAAGCGAACGGATTAACTTAAAATTGCTTCAGCGGTCATGTTAGCAAGACAAACACGGGGCTACTAAAAGGCAGCTGTGCTTCCGAACGGCCCTAGAACTGTATGGATCAACCGACTAGCCGGAACAGCAAAATTTAAGACAGCTAAAAGGGACCAGCTTCAGATTGGTTTTTCTGAAGCAACGTGTCCTGAGTTACAAGGCGAGTTTCCGAGGTGGCCGAGGACTCGATGCGTCGATATCACCTTGAAAATCGATCGGCATCTTTCCGTTTTCGTTGAGATTTGCCTGCCAACTGCCGGAAAGCAAACTGTAGCACGAAATTGCAACTACGCGTAAATCTCTTTCCGTTTAGTTACCGGAACAAACTGTCAAAATAATAAACTTCCAAATAAACAGTCAATTTAAAAAGACTCATATTATATGAGATATGTTTGATCGTTAATCGTTGCTTATTTCCTGAAAGGGAATCAGCCTGGGTACTCAGGGCCCCGCCTGTGGCGCTTTCTCCCAGCATCTCGTTTGCCACAAGGTTATGATAGCAGAGGTTTGAGTTAATCATCCCTGCAATAAATTACATCTTCTGAGCGTGATCGATGCTCACATAGAACGGATCCGACCCCCCTTGGATCCGATTGCACCTGGCAGCGCCATGGAGCACACGATATCAGGGCCGCCTAACTTCACAAACATTCCGTGTTTAAATATTTCTGCTTTCTCGACACTGTTATGGTGATGACTGTCTCTGCGTAGAATGGTACTTATTGCTCAGTCCTGCCGTGTTGCGTTACAGTAGCTAAGCCGTCAACCGCAAGCACGACTCAGTAGCAAAACAACCCGTTGCGAAACCCCCTCCCAACACCAACCCATTGTGAAAGTTGGACTAGTGGCCGATAGTAATGAGAGTTACCTGTGTTGCACCGTTAACGAATCTGCAACCTCAAGCGCCCCGACAAGAGCCACGCGGGCGACCCACCCGAAACCAGCAAGGACAAACCAGGGACCGCTGCATTGTGGCAACCCCCGGGGTTGCCCTGGGTGGGTGGGGGGAACGACGAGGCACAGAAATTTGACGAGAGAACGCACCGATACGGGTACTCCAAACTTAAACCCATAATAAAGGACAATTAGTACGATACCGACCCGTGGGTGGGTGGGTGGGGGAAACTAGAGGACACTGTCCCAGCAGCGGGATACACCTCCTGGTAATAGTCAAAACAACGGCAGTTAAAGAACCAATGCGCCTGTGGGACCCAAGTAGGAGCTCGGCGTCCCCTGCCGTACTGCGGTCCGGCACATGCATGCATGCATGCGCCCTACTTCCACGCACCACGGCAGTTCCTTCGCAATAACTTGCCTATCTCTACACTCATACTTCGCTTCGAGAAGTCGAAGCATGTATGCGATTGCTGCTCGTGCCCTACAATTGCTGTGGCTGCCGGGTGGTAGGGAGGCTCTCATCCTCATAAGGGAGCCAAAATAGAACCCCCTGGCCCCTTCCACGTCGTTGAGTCTTTATCCAAATCCCTAATTAAATCGTCATCGCCCTCATTTCCCATAATCATCCTCAAGTCTTCGCCATTTCCTCAGCATCATCACTCATCCTTGTCAACAATTCCGTTACCATTGCTCCACCATTGCGACAGAGCTCACAAGCAGCTGTGCCAGGCCCCGTCCCCCATAACCCACGCCGCCGCCGCCACCGCCGCCGCCGCCACCGGGTCCGGCCAAGATCGCAACTCCCGAGGCCCCACACAGGGCTGTCGCCGATGTGGACGCCGCCGCCGATGCCGCGTGGCCCACGGGACCCAACATTTCCGCCAAAATGGCTGTCAGGGCTGTCAGCGCCGCCGGTGGTGGTGGCTGGTGCTGTTGTTGGGCGCCGCGCGATGGCGCCGCCGGCGCCCCGGGTACAACAACACCTCGAGGGTACAGCAGAAGGCGGTGTGTGACGACGTTCTTTGTACGGCACGTACGGTGTGTCGTCAGCAGACGCCAGCGCCAGCGCCAGAGGGGTGTCATGGCGGATGCAGTACAGTGCGGTACAGTGCAGCACGGGGGCCCCTCTAGCTAAGGTGGAGGCAAATCGTGAAAGACAGGACCAATTCGGGAAACTCATGCCTCTCCTCTAACAGACCGTTATTGACCCGCCCTCCCCCCTCCCGGAGGAGTAGAACAGGTGGAAGACGGCGCAAGATCAGAACCAAGAGCGGTGCGACACCTACCTGCCATGGCATGGGCATGAACTCCCGCTGCTGTAGCTGCACTTTCGGACACATGTCACCGCCTGGCGCCGCCGCCAACGCCGCCGACCAGTCGCCGCTAACTGCGCTGCCGCCGTCGAGCCCCTTCGCCGTGACGGCCGCAGTCTTGGTTGCCACAACAGGCAACCGGTGTCGGCGCGACAAATACACCAGTCGCCCGGCGATAGCTGCGTGTCATATGCGTATGCGCAAGAAAGGAAAGATCAAGAAATACGGAACATACATACAGACATGCAGACATGCAAGTACGGCCCTCTGTAAGCGGTGGTACAAGGGGTACCAGTAGGACTCCATAGTGCAACAGAAGACAAAGACGATCAAGAAGACAAAGACGATCAGGAAGACCCCTTCCCAAGGACGCCACAAAAGAACACAAACCGATGTGTGTAAAACCAATCAGTCAAGAAATGCCCTAAAACCCTAGGGTAAACAATCACCCGCATGGATCTCGAAAAGTGACAGGGCCAGCGGCTGATGTTGATGTTGATGGTGTTGACCGTCAGTCTGCTGGTATGGCGATGTCCCTCCTCCTCCCCCAGCACCTCCTCCCCCCTGAAGCAGCGGTGGCACGTTCCTGGCCGCCCGGTCGCGCCAGTAGTGCGCTCCCACGTTGTCAATCAGCACCAGCCGACAGGGACTCCCCGACGCCTGACAGTTCATGTAGGTGAGGGTTTATACACACAAGGGCCAGCAAGCGGTGTAGGGTGAGCGGTATAGGGTTGTAGGGTGAGCGGTATAGGGTTGTAGGGTGAGCGGACCCCACAGAGCGGCAGCCGGGCAGCCGGGCAAGGGTCAGAACACCCCAAGGGCCAGCAGGCGACTGGTCAGCAGGTGGGGGGGGTAGAGGTAGATGAAGTATGTGTGTGCATGAGTGCGCACCCTTTCACCCGCAGCCTTGACAGCCTCTGTAATGGCGGCCCCCAAAACCCCCAGCCCCAGCCCCACCTGGAGCGCCTCCAGCCGGGCGGGTAGTCCCGCAAGTGCTGCTAGCAGTTGCAGACTGGAGCGACAGCTGGCCACATGAAGATGTGACAGCACCTCCTCCACGACCTGCCCAGAGTGAAGCAAGAGATGAAGCAACAACAAAAACAACAGCACAAGCAACAACACGTCATTAACAATAAAACCAAAAGCTGGGGGGCAGGGGAACAACTCGATCTTCACGGACCTGCTCCGGACTCAGCATCGCCACCACCGGCTGCTCCACCGCCTCCGCCGCCATTTCCTCCACATTGCCTCCTGCGCCAGCACCACCAGCACCACCAGCACCACCAGCACCAGAGCTGGGTCGTGTGCCCTCCGTGCTGTAGCTGCATGTGGGGCCCCGAGTGGTTACCGTCGAGGGACCGGGACCATTGCCGCCTACTGCTGCTGCTGCTGCTGCTGTTGTTGTTGTTGTCTGGACTGCGCCAATGCGTTGCTGCAGTTGTTGTTGCTGCTGCTGTTGCTGATCCCTCCATGCACTAAGAACCTGGGACTCCAATACCTGCACGCTTAGCGGTGTGCGTGTGTGGATGGGGGGAGGGAAAAGACGAACCACGAGCGATGAAGCTGCTGCCAAGTGTGTGGATGGGGGGAAGGGAGGGAAGGGAGGGTGCTGGCGGCGGCGGAAATAGGGCATGTGCGGGAAGGAGGATCGTAAGCTTAAGGGATTTAGGAAGGCAGAGGGAACGGGGTGTGCAAGGATGCGAGGGGTTGTGGGGCCAGGGAGTCAGCTACGGCTACAGGGAGGACGGTTGCATGACGTCCCATAGGTCCTCACGTGTCTCCCTCCCCACACGGCCCCCAGAATCCCCACATACCAGGGTCACCCCAACCTTCCCCATCCGGAGCACACCCCACCTCCCACCACAAGGCTGTTTCTGCTGTTTTTGCTGCCTCACCCCTCACCCCGCCGCATCCCTCGGGGGCCCCCCACCCAACACCACAGCGGACCTGCATGAGGCGCACTCCATCAAACTTGCCATCCAAGTCCAGGAAGATGACGCTGCCGGCATTGGGGGGTGCATGGGAAGCACGATGAGGAGCGGCCGCTTCGGGGTTCACGGCTAAGCCTGGTGCCGGTTGCGAGCTTTGCTGATTGTTATGTGGGTGGACCTGTCCTGGTGCTGGTGTTCCTTGATCATGAGACGGCTGCTGATTAGTCGGTGGTTGGGGCGGTTGGGTTGGTTGTGGTGGTTGGGTTTTGGGGACTAGCCAGGCGTTGGGGTCTGCGTAAGGAGAGAGCAACACATGCAGTGCGATGCTGAGCAGCAGCTCTGTTTTGCCACTGCCGGATGGCCCGACTACCTCCAGCACAACACCGGGTCGCAGCGCAAGGTTGTTATCGATTATGGGGAAGCCTGTCAGGACGCATTCGTGCTGCACACGCTTGAAAAATTGCGCGCCGGTTTCGTTGAACGCAAGGATGGCAGCGATGTCTGGCGGGAGGCCGGAATTCTGCTGTGCGGCCATTTTGCTTGATTTTTGCGGTGCTTCGCAAAAGGATTCCGTGGTCCCTAATAAAGCGCCTTGCTAACATGCCGAACGTGTTCGCGTTGAGACTGTTCCGAATCTGGCTCCGGAGCATGATGAAGTTAAATCGCCCCAACAACTTCATGGCTCTGTTGATCCCAAATGCTGACTTAAACTTTACACCACCAAATTGCATGCTATTATTCTCCTATGTCCTACCTTGTAGCGTTATAACTGGGCTTGGCAACGCAAGTAGTAATGTGTAAAGCTACGTTCGTATCCCATATGTGTTAATGTCATGAACGTAATCGAAAAAAATTACACCTATGACTTCTTAGCAGATGCGTGCGGTGAACTCCGCAAGGCCATGCTGCGCTCTCTCCTTTTCCTCAATACGTGGCCTTAATACGTAGCTCCGATACGCAACATCTCGACCTAATCTGATACGCAACCTATTCGTCCCGGCTTCGTTCATGGCCTGGTCGCTCGGCTATGCAGCTGTCAATTGCTCCTGGAACCCGTGCAGAAACAATCGCCCAGCGCATTCACGCCATGACAGCAGCTATCAGCTGCATAACCTTCCGGCAGGGTTGGAACCGGCGGAAGCTGTCCTCCGTCGTCGAGTGTTCGCAATTCAGCCACGCAGCGGCTGCCCGTCACGGCAGCTGCCTGACCCGCCGACCGCTGTCGCAGCTAACTGCGATTCATCAACACCGCCGAACGCAACGTCTCCAGAGAAACCCAAAAGAGACCCGTCCCCATCCCCCCTCTCCGTCTCCTCCGGCGGCGTCAGCATGCCGCATGTGCAGCGCCGTGGCAGCAGCAGAAGCGGTGGCAGTAATAGCAGTAGCCGTAAAAGCAGTGGTGGCGGTGGCGGCGGCAGCAGCGGTGGTGAAACCGGAGGAAGGCCGGGGAGCGAAACACACACGCCGATGGATAGGCCCACCCCCGTCGTACACCGATACCCTCCGGAGATATGGGGGCAGCCGTCCGGCCAAATGCCGGAGGTATTGGGGAACTGGACGAGCCAGCACCATGAGCAGGTGCAGCAGAAGAAGCAGCAGCAGCAGGTGCAGGTACCGGCGGGGCAGAGCCACAGCGGCCGAGTGCCAGGCGAGGGACAGGATTGGCAGCAGCAGCAGCAGCAACAGCAACCTTGGCGAAGGCAGCAGCAGCCCCAGCGTTGGCTACAGCCAGAATGGCAGCAGCACCATCACCAGCACCAACAGCAGCCGCGGCAACGTCATCAGCCGCAGCAAATGCATCATCAATACAATCAGCAGCAAAACACACCGGCAGCAGCTCGTGGTCCCGATGCTCTTATGCGCGCCATCATGGAAGCTTCCACAGTACGGCAGCTCTATGTAGTCGTACAAGCCGAGCTGCAGGCCGCCCGCGTCGCTGGTGACGCTGCTTTTGCCGAGGCGGCGGCGGCGGCCTTGGCTCCGTGGACCCCTGCCGCCGCCGCCGCCGCCGCCGCCGCTCCGTCCGACGCCGCGGCGCCGTCACCCGACGGCACAGCTCCTCAGCCGCCGCGCATGCGAGCCATCCACGTGGCGGCAGCGATGGTACGACTGTCAAAGATGCCGTCAAGCCAACGCCACAGCAGCAGCGCTTCCTGCAGCAGCGATGGCATCATCGGCGGCGGCGGCGGTGGCGATTGCGATTACAGGGGCAGCGGCGGCGGCGGCGGCGGCGGCCTGACGGCGCCCACTTTTTCCGCCGCTGCCACGAACTTAATGATGATGCCTGGACATGTCCGCCGCGACGGCGGCGTCGCCGCCGGCGGGGAGGACGGCCTGCCTGATGACGGAATCCAACGGCGGCGGTGTCTCCTGCAGGCTTTGCTCGTACTAGCATGCTCCCAGGCGAGGTTCCTGACTGCGCGTCAGCTGGTCAATGTGATGTGGGCGCTGGGACGAATGGAGGCGGATAAGGCCCTTCATGACGTTGACGTCGATGTCGACGGCGGTAAGGCTGCGGCGGGTGGCGCCGCTGAAGCGACGCAGCCTCCCAGCTTGGGTCAGCTGGAGGCTCTGGTTTCGGAGCTGCTCGGTCAGCCGGTGCAGCTGCGGCGTTTGGAGGTGGAGGTGGAGGAGGTGGAGGAAGCAGAAGAAGTTTGGAGGGAGGCGTCTGAAGCGGAGACGGAGACGGAGGCGCCGCCGCCGCCGCCGCGTGCATGCAAACTAGAGCAAACGAGCTGTCGCGAGCTGGCCAACTTCGCCTGGGCGGCAGCGCAGCTACGGCTGGCGTCGCCGCCGCTGTGGGCGGCGATACGGCAGATAGCGACGGCGCGGTTGCGGTGGCGGCGGCGGCGGCAGGGACGTACTGATCTGGCACCCGCTGGCGCCGCCGCCGCCGCCGCCGCCGCCGCCCCCGCCGATGGTCATCTGCAGTTCAACGCTGCCGACGTCGCCAACCTGTGTTGGGCGCTGGCCCGCGCGCGGCAGCCCCTGAAAGGGGAGCTCGGTCGGGGGCTGGTGCACGCGGCGTTGGAGGTCATGGAGGTGCGGGTCGCAACGGGGGTGAGGAGGGGGGAAAGACGAAACACGAACGAGTGAGGGGGAGGGGGGAGGGAAGAGGATATAGCATTATTATTATTATAATCATCATCTTTATCATCAACATTAACAACGACAACCGTAAAGAATGGTTACTTCGGAAGCTCCTTTTTGTTGTTGCCCCCTCACCTCCTCCTCCTCCCCCTCACCTCCTCCCCCTCACCTCCTCCTCCCCCCCCTCACCCCCTCCCCCTCACCTCCTCCCCCTCACCTCCTCCTCCCCCTCACCTCCTCCTCCCCCTCACCTCCTCCCCCTCACCTCCTCCCCCTCACCTCCTCCCCCTCACCTCCTCCTTCCTCCTCACCTCATCAGGACATCGATGCGGTGTCGCTGTCGAGCGTCATTTGGGGACTGGGCAACCTAACCTCCCAGATGACATTCTCCCACCAACCACCGCAACCACCTGCAGCTCCGCGTCCGTCATCCCACCTTGACGACCATCTTGCCACGTCAGCGGACGATGATGGTGCGTTACGCGGGGGCGGCGGCGGCGACGGCGGCGGCAATGACGGCGAGTACGGCTGGGTCACCCAGCCGGATATGCTGCCGCTGCTGCTGCATCGCGCGGCGCCGAGGTTGGTCTCGGAGCTGTCCCAGCAACGGATGGGGCCCCGGGAGGTTGTGAGTACGGCGTTAGGGCTGGCGGCGGTGGCGGCGGCGGCGAGGAGGAGCAGGATGCCAGCGCTACAGCCGCCGAACCAGCTACTGCAGGTACACACGTTTCAGTTTTACGTAAACCGTCATTAGGACCATCGTACGGCATGTATACGGCATATACGTGTTATCGCATGGAATAATATTATACGGCACGGATAGATAGATCGAGCGCAACCTAGGCTTCACTCGAAATCCACCAAGCCAAGCCGTGAGGTACAAAGCAGCAGTTTGGGTGAGAGGACCTAGTACATTTATACAGGCAGGCGGCTGGCAGAGGTTAAGGTCTGAGTTCTGCTCCCGGCCGACCCGGGTTCAAATCCGCCTGCCGACTCCCCGGGTGTCTGAGGAGTGTTGAAATGGGAGGTGGCCCCCCATCATATGGACGATGTTGGACGTGATAAAATCAACTTGCGAGCTAACCAGGAACCAAGTTGATGCGCCGTTGATCCGCTAGATTTGGTTGGATATCCAACCAAATCTAGCCGTTGGGTTCGGCTGGTGATGAGTTGCCGAACCCAACGAATACATTCTAAAGTCGGATGGGGTGACGGATTAGGGTGCCCCTCTAGCAGGGGAGGGCAGGGACTGCCCCGGGAAAGGGGGCCGCTGGCGAAGTTAACCACCCTGTAACAACATACATACATAATACAACTGTACGAGACCTCTTTCGCGCTTTTACCATCACACCGCCATTTCCAGACTTTCCGACAGCGCACACTGATCGAGGGGAAATAATGCCCAGGGGATCTCCACAGTGTACTGCCGTGCATACGTCCTACCAACTGTCGTACATTGTGTCGTACAATCAGGCCTTGGCGGATTACGTTGCGGCCAACGCCGCGGCCTTCGTCGCTGGCGGCAGCCCGGGTGGCAGCACGGGGGCCGCCGCGGTGGACGGCGGCGCCCCTCCAACGAGGACAGGGGCCTCCGTCCGACCTGTCGACAACTTGGCGACCGTGCTGCTGGCGCTGGTGCGGTGCGTGGAGGCGCCCGTGACCCACGGTGGCGGCGGCGGCGGCGGCGGCGGCGGCGGCGGCGGCGGCGGCGCCAGGGATCCACGGGTCATTCGCTGCGTCGAGCGCGCCCTAGAAGGGGCCGCCAGGCAGGTACGGCACAATACGACGCCGCGGACATCCCGTGGCGTGTGAACAACATCACGGGCACAGCTGGGGGGCCGTCGGCTCGCTTCGTCGACGTCATCGTCGACATCGTCGGGGGCACTTGAGTGATGGTCGGATGGCAGCTAATGCACCCACCGACACCAAGAAGGCTGGCGCCGTAGACAGACAGATAGATACAGTCATACATACATGCATACATGCATACATGCATACATGCATACGTGGCTGCGTTGTGTGTTGGCAGTCTGAGTCGGGGTCGGGAGCACACAAGACTAACCGACTTGTGTTGTGTGCTTCCGACCCTTGCGCTGTGTTTCGGCTTCGGCCCCCGGCTCTCGCGGCCCACAGTGTAATTTAAGTCATAATACATACATGTATACATACATGCAGGTGGTTCGCAATCTTCCGAGGGCTTCTCCGGCGAGTCTCGCAGCCCTGGCTGTAGCGTATTCCAACCGAGCTACAGGCGGAGGTAGCGGCAGAGGCAGCGGTGGCGGCGCCGCCGCTGCTGCTGCTGCCGCCGCTGCCGCCGCCGCTGCCGCCGGGGCGGCGGCAGAGATCACACCTTCGGACGGGGGAGACATGATCGCCGCCAGCAGCTCCGGCCTGCTGCCGCCGCCGCCGTCTCCTGCTGGCCCAGTCGTACCGCCAGTGCGGGCTGCCGTACTGCGCGCCACGCTGCGTGCAGCGCTGCGGCGGCTGGCTGCGCTGCCAGCTCCTTCCCCCCCATCGTCGCCACCGTCACACGACGGCCCCGTCACTGCCGCTGCTGCCGGTGTTTTGGATGCTCGTCACATTAGGGAGATTGTTGCCGTAATGTGGTGGAGTGTTCAGGGTCTAGGTGGCGGAGAGGAGGGGGTGGCGGAGGAGCTTCGTGCGGCGGCGCCGTGGCTGCTGCAGCGAGCGCTGCCGCTGTGCCGGCCCGCGGTGAGCTCGCCGCCTGATCACCTCCCCACCTCATCACCTCATCACCTCCCCACCCAGATGTGGGCGAGGGGGGCGACTAAGGGGGGAAGGGAAATACCGGGTTCGTGTTTTTTTCTGTTTGTTGGGGAATCCCTTTGTTTTGGGACAACCTTTGCTACCTTTGCGCCGCACTTGTAGCCGCATCCGCTGCCGGCGGATGCGTCTCCTGCCCGTCTCAACACACACATACGCACACACACACACACTCTCTCTCCGCACTCAGGAAGTGGCGCTCCTAGCCGCCGCCTACGCCCGCGCCGGCTGCCACCCCCCTGCCCTCATGGCGGCGCTCTCCGCAGCGGCCCGCGCCGCCGCCCCTGAGCTGACCCCCCTGGACCTATCTCAGCTAGCCTGGGCAGCCGCCACCGCCACCGCCACCGCCACCGCCACCGCCACCGCCGCAGCCGGGGCTAGGGCCGGCGGCGGCGGCGGCAGCGCCTGTCCCCCCCGGGACGCTCTGCTGCTGTCGGTGCTGGAGGATCGATGTACGGAGCTGTTGCGAGCAGGCGACTGGTTGCCGGGTCAAGAGCTGGCTGTCGTACTTTGGGCCTTTGCCAAGGTGGGCGGGTGCGGGTGTGTGGGTGCGGGTGTGGGTGTGGACACAGACATACGTGCTTTACAGGCGGTGCGGTTCTTTTATTGTAGTGATATTTATTTTTTCCTCTGACAGGACAGACTGCACAGACGGAGGTCGTATGTGCCACCGTCCTACCACCCAAGTACTATTTTCCGTTGGCCTGGCCTGCCCCGCACAGCGCAGCACAGCACAGCACAGCACTCCTATGGTCTTAATATTTCAGCACAAGCACGCACAGACACACACACACACACAGGCACACAAATGTGTTTTTTGCCCCGTACTCCACCCCAGATCAACCACTATTCGGAGCCGCTGCTAGACGCCGCCGCGGCGGCAGTAATCAAATCCGACCGCGGGCCCCCAGCTGGGGCAGTAGCGACAAATCCCCTTGCAAGGCACCCTCGGCAGCTACTGCAGCCGCTACTGCCGCCGCGGCGGCTACTGCCGCAGGAGCTGGCCATGGTGGCGGCGGCGCTGGGGCAGCTCCGGTACTACGACGTGCAGCTGATGCGGCTGCTGGCTGCACGGGTGGAGGCTGACGTGGAGCAGTACTCGGCCAGGGTGCGGTCGCGCGGGTGTGTGAGAGAGAGAGAGAGAGTGGGGGTGAGGGGGTCGGGGAGAGCGAGAGCTGGGTGGGGTCAGGTCGGGCTGGGGGGGGGGTAAGAAACCCCAAGTTACACCTCTCGAGCTCTCCGAGACCACCCGGACGACACACCACGGCATCGGCGGCGACAGCCTGTGTGCGTGTGTATGTATGTGTGTATGTATGTGTGTGTGTTTTAGTGTAATAGCTAACCTAATCCTACCCTCCAAAACCAATTCCAATCCAAATTAAACCAATCCCAAATCCAAAAATCCCAAATCCTCAGACGCTGGCGTGGACCTTATCCGCCTTCGCCTGTCTCAACAGCCCCCAGCCCGGACTGCTGCATGCCGCCGCCGCCCGCATCCGGCACCTGCTGACGCTGCGGAGCCAACACCAACACCAACACCAACACCAACACAAGCACCAACATAAAACGAAGCAGCGGAAGGCGGCGGCGGAGGAGGAGGAGCAGAAGGAGGACGAAGGGGGGAATGAGGAGGGGGGCGAGGGGGGATCCCCCCTGACGGCTTTTGACGCGGTGACCCTGCTCTGGTCGTTCGGAGTGCTGCAGCATGTGGATCTGGACTGCCTGCAGGGCCTTATACGGTGGGTGGTTACGTGATTGTGCGGTGCGTTGGGGTGTGGGATGTCGTCTGCCGTGTGGGGTGGGGTGTGCGTGTGTATGTGCACATAATCTGTGTATATATTATTTATGAATATAGATTTAGCTGGTGCCCCTCACGTCGTGTGCCCCTCATTTCAAGCTCCCCGGGCATCGCCCGTTCACAGCACATCTTCCTTTCATTCTACGCTTCTGTGCGTGCGTGTATGGATGGATGGATGGATGGGTGGATGTCGATGACTTCCGGGCTGGCTGCAGCATGTACGAGTTGACGCAGGCTCCTCACTCACCCTCCTCACTCACCCTCCTCAGGATCCTGCCAGCCGACCCAGGGGTCTACTCCACCTCTGACCTGTCCCGACTGGGGCTCGCTGACGCCATGCTGCGCGGCGCACTGACTCGCTACCGAACAGGAAAGGCGGATAGCGGTGGTAGCTATGATGGTGGCGGTAGCGGGGGCGGGGGCGGCACTCTTAGGCTGCTGCCGGCGGAACTGGGGGCGGCGGTGCTGCTGTCCGCGGGCTCGCAGCAGTCCCGGGTGTCCGGGTTGCAGCGGGAGGTAGCGGCGACGCTGCGGGGGATGGGCTTGCGACCGAAGGTGGGTTGCTGACTGTTGGCAGTTGGTGTACGACAAGGTTGTTGGATGTGTGGGTGAGGAGCGGAGGTGGGTTTGGGGAGCCGTTGTGCGTCTTTCGTTTCGTTTCGTTTCGAGCATTTTCCGATGTTTTTGATGCCCCGGGGCAATATCTTTGATTCTGTTCTGTTCCCTCTCTGCTTTGCCGGACTCATGTATGTCCCATCCACTGTACGGCGCGCGTGCTATTCTTGTACGGCATCAGTTGGAGGTGGCCATGGGTGTTTTTACGCTGGACCTTCGACTGGACCTTCCTGTGGGCTGGAGATGGGAGGGACAGGGAGGTGTACGGCAACAACGACAAGAGGTACGGCAACAACAACCGACGCGTCAGCAACGCGGTGACGACGTCATCCTCCCGGGTAAACCGCCGGCCGCCTGTGGTGGTGGCGGTGGTGGCGGTGGTGGTGGACGTGCGGGCGGAGTTGAGGGCGACGGAGCGCAACCGGAGGTCGACTTCCCGGTGCTTCCAGGCCGGCGACGGCAATCCCCACATCTCCCAGTCATCCGGATTGCGGTTGAGGTACGTCTTTTATAGCCTTTCCCCTCCCACTTGGCATCACCTGTGATCACGCGCGCCTGTGAACTATTTTTTTTGAAGTCTTTTGCTCGAGTTAAAGATTAGAAAAAGCCCTCCGGCGTGCCTTTCTCCAGTTGCCAGTTCCTGCCTCCAGCTTTTAAATGCGGCTCAGTTCAATACGACCACTGTTCTAGCTCGCGCCTGTCGCTCCTCCTGTCCCCACTTTTCATCAAACCACCACATCCATAACCCGCCCTCGCCCCCACTCGTGAATGCACAACTCAACCCAACACTCAACCCAACACTCAACCCAACACTCAACCCAACACTCAACCCAACACTCAACCCAACACTCAACCCAACACTCAACCCAACACTCAACGCAACACTCAACCCAACACTCAACCCAACACTCGACTCAACAGGTAGATGGCCCCTCCCACTTCTGCGCCAACGTGCCCAATCACGCGCTGGGGGCGACCGTAGCTCGGGACCGGTGCCTCCAGGCGCTGGGGCTGCAGCTGGTGGTGGTGCCGCACTTCGAATGGTACTTGCTGCAGGTGGGCACTGATGTCTGTCTGGTTTGCTATGTTGGGGGGTGTGAGACTGCTCAAGGGTGAAGCGTGAAGGCGCGTGCGGGCCGCGACACGTTTGTGGTTGTGGTTGTGGTTGTGGTTGCCGTGTCTTGACGCTGTCTACTGTGTATTGTGCTGTACTGTACCGAACTAATACTGTACTGCATTAGTAGTGCATTTCCTTGCTCTACCGCATCCCCGTTAATGTCCTTCGGCCTCTTTTTTTGAACTCTTTTTGTGAATCTACTGTGTGGATCGCGTTGAAGAGCCGGGAGGCGAAGAGGACGTACCTCGCCCGCCGCCTGGGGGCGGCGGCAGCGGCACCCCCGCCGGCCCCTCCGCCATCTGACGGGGCAGGTCGCCGCCGCAGCGGCGGCGGCGGCGCCGATGGCGGCGATGATGGCGGCGGAAACCGCGGTGGTTCCTCCGCCCAAACGGGTCGTGCCACTTCTCGCGCGCTCTTCCCAGCCATGACGATCACGACGCATGTAGTACGGCGTTCTGCGGTGCCGGCAACGCCAGTGGTGACCCCGCCGTGAGCCTCTTCCCTCCCCCCACTAGCTGTAGCAGTTTTTCCTTTACATCAGCGTCACTCGCTCGTGGTTCGTCTTCCCCCCCCCCACTAGCAGTAGCAGTAGCAGTAGCGGGGCACCATAACGGCGCGGCTTCATACGGCTCGAGGGCAGTCATGACCGGATCTTTGAGGTCATCCAGGTCCATGTCCAGCCTTCTGCACAGGGCCCGCAAGCAGCCCCACCCGACACACCAAGCGTTACATTCACACAACTGAACTGTCCGATAATGGTCGATAATGGGCTTGTGCCGTTGGGTTTTTTTTGAAGTGAAATGGAGAAGCGCCAGGATGGATACTTTTCTTGGCAAACCTCCTGCCCCCGTAGGCGCGAGAGTGCGCTGGACCCGCGCTGTGGGGCCCCAACCCCACCCCACCCCACCCCACCGATGGGGTTTGGGGTCTCTTATAATATTTTCCCAAAGTGGCCGGATGGCTCCAGGACCATGACATGCACGAGTTTGCCGGCGTAACGGGAAAACCCATCGCGATTAGCAACAACAAATCCAGCTCCACTTACACACAGCCAGACAAGGTGCATCGCAAACGCATTACGGCTGGCTGCATCTCATTTCGCCTCACTATCATGGACGCAGAGCGGTAATCGAAAGACTGGTAGGGGCGAGTTTGGCGGTGTAGATGAAGTAGGGTGCAGCTAATGGCTAATTGCGGGAAATCACGGGAACCACCAGGGATATGGAAGCGCAGACACAAGAACGCTCTATGTAGGCGATATTACCGAAAAGACGGGCACGAAACAGGTAGGCTTGACGTGGGCAGCGTCCCCTCGATTACGACAAACATATTTACATGTATGTTTTTAAAAAAAAAACATGTATGTATACATACATATATATACATACATATGTACGCATGCATGTGCACACCGCACCTCTCCAAACGCACATAGCTGCATAGCTCCAGCCGTACTCGGGGTAAGTTGGGGAGTCATGCTGGAGCTTGAAGTCTCTATCCACACACCAGCTGCTGGCTGGGAGGTGCTCTGCGGTCCATGCGCTGGATCGGATTTGGTCACAATTTGCCCGCAAATACAAAGCCCTGCACAAGACGTCGCGTACACAGACATGGACAAAAACTGAAATGTGAAGTCTTTTTTTGTACTTATCTTACTATCTTTACTTTATCAGATTTGAAGTAAGCAACAACAAGCAAAACTGTATCCCGCAGTAGTGCTGCTGTAATGTGTCCGCTGCGTTTCCCCTAGGACGCGGTCTAAACAGGGTCCAAGTTTGACCATCCCAAGTGCCATCGCACGGGATATCCTGATACCCCAGGCGCTCAGCTGATCAAAGTTTTTGGCAGGGGGATAATGCTGAATTGAGGCTGGCCATGTGGGTCTTATGCCACGAGGACAGACCGACGGACAGGCAGGTGGAAAAATTGGGATATCACTACTGCATCGTGAAGGTCAAGCATAGTTTCTATGCGAAAAAACAATGTTTTTTAGGATTTAGAGGTGATTACGGCCATTCGGGACAGCGCAAGCCATGGATGGAAAGGTTGCGCGGGCACTAGTACGGAAACCAACCGTCATTTTGAGGGAGGTGATCTTGGTTGGCTGGGTACAGGTGCAATATAACATGTAAAGCGTAGGATGTTATATCCGCTGCGAGCGTACCTCGTTTTTGCTGTAACTGTAGTTACCATCAGACTTGATACCTACAGGACAGCCCGGGCTGCAAGTATAGATGAATCAACGAGGAATACAGGCCTTCTTGATGGATGTTTCAATAAGTACTACGACGCAACACCCACTACGTTCGAATCATTTATGTCCGGCATTCCGCCTCAGTGAGTCTTCTCTCGCGTGACACGGGAATACTCTGCGTTCCTTAACCCATCTCTTTCAAACGGTGCTAGGCTGCGGCTCCATCGCGTATGGTGGACACGGAAGAGCTCCAGCATCCCTGTCACAATGTTCACAACAGCAACGTTAGACCGCTTGGACATGCTGGATACACAGTGGGTCAATCTTTGGAGCTCGCCAAGGTGCGAAACAAATGCACTAAACAAACCGGCAGGGGGCGTCGGTACGCAGGTGTCGCAATTACCGGGGCGGCCCTCATGTGGCTGCTGTTTATCTGCCGCTGGTGCAAGCAGCCAACAAAAGCGGCTTAACAAACGAAAACGAGCAGGCTGTCAGAACGGCTGAGGAAAAACTGCAGGCAAGCGTCGCATCTCGCGACCTGCGGAACCCCGCTGGTCGATGTCAGTAGACTTGACTAATCCAAGAACTCACACCATAAGCAAATTCCATCTCACCATATTTCCCCTTTCTCCAGGAGCTGTTCTACAGGATGGAGGCGACGACGGAAGCGTGCCACATGCACATCCTGTTCCTGTACGAAGTTACGAGCGATTCTGCACTTGCGTACCTTACCCCCATCAATGCGCTCCGTAACGCTGCGCTGCTGGCCAGTCAGACGCAGCTCGTCATGATGATTGACGTGGACCTCTGCGTCAGCAACACGCTCGTCCAGTTCGTCTCCGAATCTAAATACATAGATCAGCTTGTCCGCATGTCAAGCAACAGCTTTTGGGTGCTGCCGGCGTGGGACGTCAACAAGCAGCTCCCCCAGGAGCAAATAAATGAGGTGGCGGCGTCCGCTGCGTCAGGTACTACTGCCTCCCTTTCGCCACCTTACACACCCTCATGCTCAGGATTGGATGACATATGGATAGCGACCCATTTAACCCCTTATGGGCTATGAACAGCTCAACTCAGAACGGATTTCTACTACTGCTGTTACTGCTGCTGTTACTGCTACTACTGCTGCTGCTACTGCTACTGCTGCTGCTACTGTTGCTGTTACTGCGGCTGTTACTGCTGCTGGTAGTTGCTACTGCTGCTGCTACTGCTACTAATGATGATGCTACTGCTACTGCTGATGTTAGTTAACTTGCCTGCGTTTGCGTTTTCACGAATACCTTAATCGTAGGCACCAAGATGCAGCTTGTGAAATTGTGGTTGAATGGAAGTTTAAACTGGTTTGGGCAGCACTATTTCCAGCTTGGCCACTCGCCAACAAACTATACACGGTGAGTTCAAAAGAGGCGCACAGAGAGACTAACTGCCTTACCGGCGTTTAGGGGGCCCTTTGCTAAACCAGTACTACTGCCATAGCTGGGACCTCAATCTGGCTGACCCACATGGACGCGTTTGACATCCATCCGCACGGCCGGTTGACCCACGTGGCCCCCTCTCGGCGTACGCACCCACCCACCGCCCAATCCCCCAATCCCAGGTGGCTGATGTCCCGCAGGTCCTACGTCATAGACTACAGCATCGGCTACGAGCCGTGGGGGCTGGTGTCTAGGTGCGTATGTATGTATGCATGTGAGTAGGTAGGTAGGTAAGTAGGCAAGTAGGTAGGTAGGTAGGTAGGTAGGTATAGAACAGGGTTGCGTGAGAGGGGCCAGGTCACAGGGGAAGAGAGGGAGAAAGAGGGAGAGGGAGTCTGGGTTGGCCATTCGCCAGTGCAGCACGTCCATGCTTCCGTTGGGCGCTCTGCATTGAGATGTGGATTTCTACCTACCCTTGTTCCGGGCCGCCCGTGCCTCCTGCACGCCGCAGGGATCGGATGGCTATCGTACCGTACGACGCGAGGTTTCGGGGCTGTTACAACGACAAAATCGCGCATGTGGTGTCACTGCATCATTCCGGCCTATTGTTCAAGGCGCTACCTAACGCCTGGGTAGTGCACCGCCCCCACGCACTCAACCCCGCGGCGGCTATCGCCAAGGCGGTGGTGGGGAGCTCCTTGTCCCAGCACGGAGTCGGAGCCCTCCAGGAGGTGAGGCGCAAGGGGGGGGCTGTGTGTGCGTGGTCTGCCGGGTATGGTGCGACGCAGTAGTGGTATGATAGTCGGGGGGAAGGGGCTCGGGGTTGTCGGGGTTGTCCTCCGTATGTGTGGGGCCTGAATTGGAGCCTTTTGTTGAGGCGGTCCTGATGCTCTTTTCTTGGTGCTGTGGCTGATGTGAGGGTGGGGGTGTCAGAGGGGGCCCTAAGGGTGTTAAGGAAACCGGCAAATGCCCTCTGTTGATGTCTTGTGTTCATGACGCGCCTTTTCTGCGCGCGTGTGCTTTCGCTTGTGTTTGTGCGTGTGGTCGCTGCAGGTTGTACATATGCACGGCAAGAATGCGAGTAAGTTTGAGCACCACAAGGACTGGTCCCACGTGCTCCTAGATGACTCCGTCGTAAGGATGCTGGCCAATCGCTACCGGCCTTTTCCCGGCAAGCAGTACACGTACTGCCGCCGTACGTTGCCGTGGTTCGCGACCAAGACCACCCAAGCGACTGTCGCAACGACGACAACGACGCAACGTAGAGACGAGGAGGTCACATAACGAAACGGTGACGGAGCTGGTGATGGTGAAAAGGTTCCTGCTCTCAGTCTGATTCGCAATTTCCTCCTATTCTCAAGGCTTATTCGCTCTCTCCTCAATTTGGTTGCGCCGACCTTATAAGCCTATGCTAGTGGCACCGCTGCGCTCCTGCGTTGCTGCATTAGCTCTTGTGTCTGGGTCATTAGCACTGGGTTCTATTGCTCCGGCAGTGTGGTAACTCCCTGTGGCCGGGGGAAACTAACCTCGTCCCCATGTGTGCCATGCATGGCACTGTGGGTGCCGTACTTATGCGATAAGCAGCGGATAAGTAAGAGAGCGTTCGAGAGAGAAGAGCGTACGGAAGGGAGCGGGGTACGACGGTAAAATTGTGGGTGTAGGGCAGGTTGGACGGAGGCGTCAGTGTGGTGAACAGCCATAGCAGCAAACATGGAAAGCAGCACAGAAATTTCTGTGCAACAGCCGCATCAGCATCAGTGAACGAGTGAGTAAAGCGAGCGTGGAACGAAGTGACGAGTGCACAATAGACACAATAAACCCATTTAAGAGCTGCGAGATAGCCACCATCGTAATTGGCCTCAGCTATGAAGCTAATGAAGGTTCCGGGTTCGATTCCTGGTCAGACCCCCGACACTGTTCGGGAGGTCTAGGTTTACTAACGCTGCTGAGGTGTGGAGATGAGGTCTAGTTGATGGACTGAGTCTCGCATGGTGGTGATGGCTGATCTGTCTCTACGGATGTCGGGTGACTGGATGAGGAGGGGTCTAGTTGGCAGGACCCAAACCACCGTCGGTTGTACGGTGTACTCAACTATCAATATATATAGTCCATGGCCCCCCTCAGGCTTTGACGGAAACCCCCCGCACTCGTGCGGCACTTGTAACTTATAACTTGAAGCTAACGGTTATCGGGCTAGACTGCTTGGTTGAAGGGCTTGGCTGACCCATGGGTCACCCAGGGGGATATCTGCCGTGGGCCGTTGTCCGCATGTCCATGGACATACGATAACACAATACACAATACACGAAGCATGACTTTTTGCATATTACTCTTCGCTATGCGTTTTTCCGTATGCGATTTTTCCTCTTAAGACGCATAGCAGCGGAAGCAGTAGCGGTGGCAGTGATGAGAATGTAAGACAGAAGCTTGAAGTCCATCTCTTTCGTGCCCGCGCACAAGAAGCAATCCCTACTCCCTGTCATGTGCGTTAGGTTGGGTCACCCTGCCCGCAACAGTGCCTGCGGTGTGGCACCACGGCATTTCGTGTACACATGCATTCACGTGAGTCTGTGTGCATGTCCATGTCCTTGTTTCCTGAACGAATATTGTATAGCAGTGGATGATACTCGTAACCTCCTCATCCTCTCTGTAATTCAAGTGTCGTCGCCTGCTCTGCAAACGCGGGAAATCCAGCTTTAATTAAATGCAGCCAGCTGAGTTCCTCTTAGCTTGTTCCTTCGCACTTGTTTCTCGTCTACGTGACAGGGAGCTCTTGCGCGCTGCTGGCTTTCCTCTGTCTGCGCAGCGTGCACAGATGTGGATGCAGATTAGCCATGTGCACAGCTGCGCTATGGCTACGCAGCTGCAACCATCACGCACATGGCATTGCGACGTTTCGTTCTCGAGGAGGCGGGTGGTGGTGGGCCGCCTCCTAAACGGGCCAGGTGCAGGTGGCCTCCAATTTGGGGAAAACCCCAGAAGTAGAATGAGAGTGATTGTGCGCGGGCTTTTTCTTGTGATCACTTCATTGTGTGGAGCTGGTTCTTGTTGGAGCTGGTTCTAGTAAGCCAGTGATTCTGCAAGAGACTTCCCTAACCTGGCTCTACACAACGGACTACGGCCAAGCTGCTGTGGCCACCTTCTCCACCTTTTCACTCGTGTCCTCTGGTAGATGGCACAGCTGTAAACTACGTGGCCAACGTGCCAAGTGGGACATGTGCCAACTCCCAACAAACGGTCAACCGTGAATCAACGGCAGATGCGGCTGCGTCCAGACATCGGCAAAAGGAGTATTCCTGGTTTTGGGAACGGGTCCATAGCACGGTCATGGCTCGTGACCGCATCATTGACTGCCGGCTCCGGCCGTCGGGGGTCCCTTCGGGCTGCAGAGGAGCTTTCGTATGGGATGGTTGGTGGATGGTCCTCTATTTCTGCAAAAGCGGGTCGGCTTCGGGAACTCTATTTTCGTTTTCGGGAGTTTCGTTTTCGGTACGACCCGAAGTGCCCGAAGCGTTTGCCGATGTCTGACCGAAGCGACCAGTTACCGACTACAGGTTTGGTAAGGTAACCGGCTGCTTGTGACAAGCAAGGATATAATCCGAATCATCTCCATAAAGGCACTGGCGATAAGTACCGAGGAGAAATTGACTCCCGAAGGCATCGAATAGCAGCTTGTCGCCAGGCTTGCGGCGGCACACGATTCTATAAAAGCCAACCTTGGATCCCATGGATACATACATCTGGATGTATGGAGGGGTATATGGAGGGAGGGAGAGTAACCGACATTTCAAGATAACGACTCGGTAACCGAGCAGTAAGGTTACCGGTACCGATCCCCACTGGCGATGGTTGCTAGGTCGTTAGATCGTTATGTCGGTTACCCTACCGGCCAGGTACCGAAGGCTGGCGTCTTACCTTTCAGCCCCATTCGTAGATCAGTGCAATGAGCTTACTTCTTAAGTAAATTAGGAATTGTCGTCCGTTTACGTGTCACTATACTCTGGGTACGGGATGTACGGATATAGTCAGCTTAGCCCAGACTGCGCTGAGTTCGAGAATTTGCTTTAGCATTGAATGCCCAGAACGGTATTTGAGCAGTCCTTACCTGTAGTACTGGAATTTTAAACCTCGCTAAGTCAAACATTTGCGAAATTTGACAAGACGCATGACAACCATTTATCCACAATAAATATTATGTAAGTTTGTACTGTGATTTGCGCCCGTCTTGGGCTTCACTTCCCGGATGCCGGGCGAAGCAGAGGAGGGTAGCGCCAAAAGCCCTCCACAGCAGTCTCTTAAGCTTGGACTCTACCTTGGATTACAGGTAAATGCGTGAGGGGTCTGGAATCGGCCTCAAGCTGACCCTGCGAGATGCACATGTAGCTACGGATGTATCTCCAAGGGCGCCATTCCATGCTTACTGCATCTTGTAGAACGCGAGCAGTGCCCGAGCTCACCTAGCTGTAAAGCCACAGCATGGCAGCCCCGGTGGGCAGGGGCCTGGTCTGGGAGCACCAGCGCTTCGTGTCCGCCCGGGCCTTCCCCGCGCTCGATCTGCCAATGCAGGTGAGCTGCGAGGCGTCCACCACACACATACCCGCAATCACGACATTCCAATTGCTATTTTACGTCGAATAGTGTCAAGATGCTCGGGGTCCTCCAGTACAGTCGGGGTTTCGCGACGCATTGCGGGGCGACGATGGATGGGTGTCGGTCCGGTCGGGCGCCAACGCAAAAGGTTCTTCATATGGCCATAATGCTCTATTCCTAGGCACGGTGGGCCACTGCCCATCTCAGCATGGATTTGAAATGCAGTCATAAAGCGGTTTCCGTCAGCACGGCGAAAAAGCTCCCTCTCTCTCTTTCTCCCTCTTTTCTTCGGATGCTGCGCGCCGTACCCTCGAGTACTCGGGACTAAAACGGCGGGACCACGTGACTCTAGTCCTAAGGTCATTTCGAGTTTCGGTTTTCCCCATGCTCCCCATCAGGCCATCATCCCCACCACCTTGCCAACCCCGTCCTCCTCCTCCCTCACCTCCCCCCTCACCTCCTCCCTAACCGACTTCCGAACCAGATGGCATGTCAAAACCGTCAGCAGGCATCGGCCCAGGCGTCCACGGCGCCTCCTCCCTAATCACGAAAAGGTCGCGGCCGCCCGTAGCGGCTGCATGGCCCGCCACCACATCAGCAGCGGAAGCCGCCACGACGGCAGCGGCGGCAGCTGCAGAGCCCTCCCCAGGCACTGCGCCCAGCGGAGGCCTGGACGGCAGCCCTACCGGGAACCCAAACTTAACGGGCGCAGCAACATTACCGTCGACAACAGCAGCAGCAGCAACAACAACAGCAGCTGCAGCAGCAACAGCAGCAACAACCATAGGGCTGGAAGCCAAGTACGACTTCTCAAGCGCACCCAGGTACGGCACGGTACGGTATGGGCAACCGCTCCACCTTCATCGAGCGATTTTCTCTCCGGATGAAGAGGAGGGATGTTCCCCTCACACGTGTTGAGGGATGTGTTCTTGGGGGTTGTGTGTGTTGAACGTCACCCGGAGTGAGACCTTGGGCGACCTGCCAGGCGGTTGAGCGGGGTTGACGGCGGACGGGCAGAGTGGGAGAGAGGAGGGAAAGCGCGGATGCGCAAAGCAGCACCTTAGCTTTTGGGAGGAAAGGGTGGTGGTGGTGGTGATGGTGGATGTGGTGGTAGCTGAGAGCTTCTGTCTTGTGAGCTATGTGTGTGTGGGGTTCTAATCTGCAGAGGTAGAGCTGATAATGATAATTATTATTTTTGTACATGATTGGAATTGCGTCATTGGATTATTATGACTTAAAAAAGCTTTCTTACCTTCTTGTCAAGTGAGGGAGGCCAGGCCGCCAGCAGGGCAGGTGGTGGTGTGGGGGAATCCCGGTGGCTCTTAACGGCGTCCAGCCAGCCAGCCAGCCAGCAAAACTCCATCCATCTGGGAAGCTAAGCTAAGCTCGGGGGTCAGCTGGGAATCAAACACGGCGAGCAGCTATAGGGCTGCGGGGCGCCATGTCCAGCAAGATTCGCGACAAGAGTCGCAACACGGCGGGCTAGGGGGCAAAAAGACGAACCACGAGCGAGTGAAGCTGCTAGGGGGGAAGGGCAGCCCCTGGGGGGGGTGAGGGCCTTCTAGGGGGGATGATGTGGGATCCTGAGGTGGCATAGAGGGGGGGAGAGAGAGACAGAGGCAGAGGCAGGGGGGAGGCGGGAAAATGTGAGGGCATGGTGGGTAGTAGGCGGAGGGCTGTTTGGAAAGGGCTCTGATAAGGGCTCGTGTGTGTGTTTTGTCGCTTCCGGGCCTGTCGCCTCCTCGCCTCCTGCCCCCCCGGGCTGCACAGGAGTGTTAGACACCGGTCATCCTTCAGCGGCCACAGCAGTTCATCCGCTACTGCCGCTACTGCCCCTGGACGTCCCGGTCTCACGGCGGGAGCCATTGGAACTGGTTCCGGAGCGAAGTCCCCCGGTACGAGGGAAACGGGCCCTGGCAGCCAGCCGCCGCTGCCGCCGGCGCCACTGCATAACCAGGTTGTAGTACAACAGCAGCAGCAGCAGGGTCCGGTGGCAACGATGACGCGGACGGCGGTGGGTGGTGGTGGTGGCGGTGGTGGTGGTGGTATGGACAGGCGGCAGGTATGGGTTGAGGACGCGGAGACGCAGGCCAATGTACGGAAATGGCTAAAAGTACTCCAGGTGAGTGGCTGGGTGAGTTGGGGCTAGTGTTGTATGTGTGTGTATGTCGTTACAGGGTGGTTAAGCTTCACCAGCGGCCCCCTTTTGTGTGTGTGTGTGTGACGATGCTGCAAAGACGGGTGGTTGCGTGGGTTTGGGGTTTGGGAAGACATCAGGTGGGGCCGTTGGCGATGTCCTGTGTTTATTCATACCCTGGATTTTTTTCAGTTGCCCAAAAGTATAACCCACTCCATACATACATACATACATACATACATACATACATACATACATATATACATATATACATACATACATACATACACACATACACACATACATACAGGAGTTCAAGACGTTACCCCGGGACTCCCTGGAGTTCGTGTACCTGTGCAACGCCCGCCCCGAGCTGTCTAACCGCAACCCGTACAACTTGAAGCTTGTCCAGCACGCGGAGCTGAAGAGCTCACCCGCCTCGCGGGACGACTACTACACCGTATCTGCGCAGGTAGGCACTGGCGTGGTGGGGTGCTGCAGGGTGTTGTGGGGTGTTGCGCTAGGGGGTAGCAGAGAGGGATTTGAGGGGGGAGAGAGAAGAACCTGCCGAGTGGGATAGAAGTGGTGGATAGAAGGAAACGAACAGGACGAGGGGCTTTTCGTCGGCCATTGCGTATTTGACCTTCTTGCATGTATGTATGTATATATGTATGTATGTATGTACGTATGCATGTATGCGACTCTCCCCTCCCCTCCTCCCCCCCACCACATATGCATATAATGTGTAATATAAATATATATTATGTAATATATATACATAATATATTATACACACGCACACAGACCTACATACACACACCTACTCGTGCACATGCAGGGCGTGACCCACTTCCTGGCCGGCGTGGGCGACTTTGTCACCCTGGAGCAGTTTGAGCGCGAGTACTACCTGTACCGGCAGCTGCTGCGGTTCCGAATGTTCTCTCAGTACCGCCTGTGGAAGAGCTTCAGAGTGGGTGGCGGGGTGAAGGGGGGGGGGAGGGGGGGTGGTGGTGGGTGGGCGGGTGGGTGGGTGGGAATCACGTGTGAGAAAGTGGGAAGTGAAGTGAAGTGTCACGGTGGTGTGGGTCCGAGAGGTCCGAATTCTGCTGTAGAGGAGGAGGAGAGAGAGGCAGGAGAGGAGGGGGGAGAGACAGGAGAGGAGGGGAAAAGGAGGGGGGAGGGGAAGGGGGAGGGAAGGGGGAGAGGAGCGGGGAGGGTTAGGGTTTGGCACCACATGAATGGGGACAAGTATGGGGACTGCGAACTGAAATCCAGTGTCCGAAACTGCCCCTGGTAAGTTCGAAGCGGTGCGCAGGATGTCACCGACCCGTGGGTCCGGAAGTGAAGGGTGGTGGGGTGGTGGGTGGTTGCATGTCATCATCTGAGCAGTGGCCACCAGCAGTGGTCCGGCAGCACCCCACCAGCAGTCGGAAAAGACTCGCCTCGGCAGCGGCGGGGTGACATCAGTCGCGTCAAGTCGAGGAATGCGAAGGGTTGCGGGGTGCGGGGAGCGGCTGCTCTGGCTGAATCCCCAGCTGTTTCCTATGCACCGCCCTCACACTCACACTCACCCCCTCCTTCGCCACTCCACTACCAGCTTCCTCTGCTGTGCCGCCCCAGTCATTGTCCCCACCCACCACATCGGTATATAATACCTACCTACCTACCTACCTACCTACCTAACTGCCTCTACCTCTGTCTCTCTCTCTCTCCCTCCTCCCGCAACTCCTCCGTCTCCCCCACCCCTGTCGGGCAGCTGTGGCGCCGGTTCGTGAGCACCCGCAAGGCCCGTAGCGCCAAGACCGTGCTGCAGAACAGCCTGTTCACACTGAACCCCGTGTTCAGCCTGGCGCTGGTGCGACTGCGGAAGGTAAGCTGGGTAGCTGCGGGTCGGCGGTGGCGGGTGGTGGGGGTGGGCGTGGCGGGGGTGGGGTTGGGGGTGACTTAGGGTTTATCTTGGTGGCGAGTGGTGGTGGTGGTGGGAATGGAGGCGTAGCGGGCTAGCAACGGGCGGTAAGCGGTGTTGTATGTCTGGAAGGGGGAAAGGAGAGGGAGAGGGGGAAGGTGGGATTTGTAGGGGTGGGTACTCATAGCCGCGAAGAGCCGTGTGTTTTTTCAAACCCTGCCGTACGACGTGTGCCCGTGGCGCGCAGTAGACGGGCATTTGATGCTTCTTTCTTCGTGTTTTTTTTTAATCCGAAACCATACCGTACTTGCTCGCGCAATTTCCGTACATGTCGTACAGTCTTGCCAGGAGTTGCATGAGCTTCGTCTTCACGCAGTAGAACGAGACCGCCTTTACACGTTGCCGGAGCTGGTATCTCTGCACGAGGCGCGGAGGGAGGAGACGAGGGAAGCCTTGGAGAAGCTGGAGCAAGACATCCTCCAGCAGGCGCAGGTGCGGAGGGGGGGCCGCCGGGATGTGTTTGCATGCGTCTCTGTGTGTGTGGGGTGAGTGGGTGCGGGTGGGTGTATTTATCTATGTATGATTTTGTTACAGGGTGGTATAGCTTCATCAGCGGCCCTCTTTCCCGAGGCAGTTCCCTGCTCTCCCCTGCAAGAGGGGCACTCTAATCCATTCACCCCATCCGACTTCAGAATATATTCGTTGGGTTCAGCAACTCACCACCAGCATCCAACCATATCTAGCGGATCAACGGCGCATCAACTTAGTTCCAGGTTGATTTATTCACGTCCTACACCGTCCACAAGATGGGGGACCACCTCCCAATTCATCACCTCTCACTGACAGAGGGTTCTGCAGGCGGATTTGAACCCGGAACCTCCGGGAGCAGAAGTCAGGCCTTAACTTCTGCCAGCCACCTGCCATATTTATATTTGTATGTACACAGTGTAAAATCTGTTCTTTTATTTTATTTCTCGTACAGATAGGCACCGTGGGGGGCGGGCGCCACGCGTCTTTATACAGACGAGGCGATATACTGTGTATGGCGAAAAGGCGGGAACCAACAACCGCCAAATCGCTCACACTAGCCGTACATGAAGGCACAGCGGGTTAGCGGCACGGATGCGCCGATCACAACCTTGGCAAACCTTGGCAAGCATATTACATAATAAGAACATTGAGCTCTGATCTGGGCGACCTGTACCACGCAGGAGGCATGTGCTGCAGCCAGGCATTTAATGGAGATGCAGCTCATGGGGGGCAACTTCACGAAGGTGGGTGCCGCCGCCGCCGCCACCGCCGGCACGACGGCGGGGCTCGAATGGTCCGGCGGCGGTCCGGCGGCGGCGGCGGCGGGGTTCGGCAGCTCCGGAACCGGGCCTTGGACGGGTTTGGGAGCATCGGCCCCAGCGGTCGCAACCGAGCCTGACGCCACCAGCATTGCCGTCGGTACCGTTGCCGGTAGTGGCGGCGGCTACGCGCCATCGGTGCTGTCGTACACTGTCGACACGTCGGCCGGCAGCAGCGGCGGTGGCGGCGGCGAGTTTGGATACGCGCTGAGCGCCGCGCGGAGGTCGTACAAGCGCCGTATTCATGCGTTTGTACGGCTAATGGATTACATGATTTGCGAGGCCCTCCACGAGCTGCTGATGGACTCCACCGCGGATTTGTTAGAGGCGCTCAG